TTGCACAACCTCCGAAAACCTAAATTACACTTTTGTGTGAATAAAAAAAAAAAAAAAAAGTATAATAATCGATATATATATATAAAATTCGACCGTGATTGTTATTATTATTATTATTAAATTATGGTTTTAGTATTATTATTATTATTATTATTATTATTATTATTTATTCTAATCATTCTGGTCGTGGAGTAGTAGTTGCGTCTGTAGTCATGGGTTTTTTTTTTTTTTTTTTTATACCCTAAGCATTTTGCAAAAACGTAACAAAAAAAAATTTTTCTTTTCTTTTACCGGAGGGAATGATTACCATTATTATTATTATTATTATTATTATTATTATTATTATTATTATTATTATTATTATTATTATTATTTTTACATTCGAATTAAAATATTTGGAAAAGATGAAATGTGATTGATGATTGCATGATTTCGATGCGTTCGTTTTTCCCTATCGAACCCGTGGGGGGGGGAAGGAGGTGGGAAATTTGTGTTTTATTTTATTTCCCGTGAAAAATTAATTTCTCCCCCTCCCAAAAAAAAAAGAAAGAAAAGAAAATTATTGTATGTGATTCAATCGATCGATCGATTTTAACAGTAAATTGTAGTGTTTCTCTCTTTCTCTTTCTCTCTCTCTCTCTCTTTCTCTCTCTCTCTCTCTCTTTCTCTCTTTCTCTTTCTCTCTCTTTTTTTTTTAATTCGCGTAAATCTTGCTCAATGTTTTTCCTATAAATCGGTTTATGCGTAATTTATTTCTCTTCTAGACGCTGACTAATTATTATTATTATTATTATTATTATTGAATGCGTTTTCGTATTTTAATCTGCGAAGGTAATATATTTTATTTTTTATAATGTCACAGCTGTAAAAAAAAAATTATTTTCGAGTAGGTTATTTGATACATAAAAAAAATCATATCCTACACATCAAAGGTTGTGGAATGCATTATTTAGATCGTTATCCCTATTTAAGTTTTTCTGCGGTCACGTCAGGGCTTTTTTTTTTTTTTTTAAATGTTCAGAATTACGAAATTGTATCTTGAGACGTAAGCGACATAGTTTCTCTCTCTCTCTCTCTCTCTCTCTCTTTTAATTGTATATTTTAACATTTTCGAGTCGTTGACCATCAAGTTTTGGTATACATATATGTACGTTGATGCGTATTGATTCTTAATCCATTCCAACATGGAGAGGGCATTGGAACAACACGCACGTGTTGCATCTACTTCTGAGAGAAAAAAGTAATTTTTAAATCGTATACTAATAAAATTGTACGTTGTGTCGATTGGTTGTTGTTGTTGTTTTTACTAGGTAGTATTATTATTTATATTTATCATTTATCCATTCAAATATGATGCGTGTGTGTGCGTCTGCTTCTGTTTTAAAATTATGCACACTTTCATAATAAGAAGGCGGTGAATAAATGCACAATGGTGTTGTTACCGACCTTGAGTTTCAAATGATAAAATGGATATTCGGTTAACGAAATGAAATCATTTTAAATTTTCTAATTTTTGCCATTTCTTCGTTGATTTCGCTTTAAGAGAAGAAGATTTTTTTTTTTTTTTTTAAATCCGTTGAAAAAGAATTTAATTTATTAGAATGCCAATGGAAAAAGGTGTCTGCGTAATGTCGTGCGTGCGACACGGACGATGACCAGAATACATACCATTCAGGTCTGCGGCTTTCTGAAAAAAAAAAAAATAAGAAAGAAAGAAAGAAGGAAAAAGAACGGAAAAAGAACCTTGACCCTTTCTTGTGACCTCAAGCACACACACACACACACGGATCAGGCTTTGTTCTTTTTTTCTTATAGGAAGTTACAAGTATCTGTACGTATTATTATGATGATGATGATGATGATGTCCGTAACTAGTTTTTTCTTTGTCTCCAATTATCCCACGAGGAATTTTTTATTTTTTTTTTCGGGGGGGGGGGTTAAATTTGTTTTTTTTTTGTGTACGTAAAATTGGAATGAATGATTTGGATTGACTGACACACATAAATAAATAAATAAATAAGTGCGTTCGATTGTTTTTCGTGATTCGTTTATTCGTTGATTACTTTTTTTTTTTTTTTTTTTTTTTTTTTGTCATTTCCGGGAAAACTTTTCTTTGTCGAAAATTTAACTATGTAGTAGTAACCTTTTCTTTAGGGTTACATGCTTTTATAATCGAAATAATACAAAATTTCCATTGTTATGATTTTTTTTTTTTTTCAGTCGTTATGACGTGTCATAATCGCACGTGTTAAAAAACGTGTAGTTTATTTTTTATTTTTTTTTTATTTTTTTTTTTTTTGTTCCAAACGGTTGAAAATTATTTTGTGCAAAACCGGGCGCAGAAAAATTTCTTTTTTTTTTTTTTTTTTCTAACGGATAAAAAGAATAAGTAATAATAATAATAATAATAACGAGACTTAAAGTCGTAACGAGTGAGAGAGAGAGAGAGAGAGAGAGAAAGATAGAGAAAATGTCTTTCGTCAAATTGTGTAATATATATACATTATTACATCTATTAATACATGTCTTTCGACAAATCCGTGTCGTTTTATAATAATATTATTACTTTTTAAATGGTCCTCTCTCTCTCTCTCTCTATTCTATCAATGCAAAAAGAAAAGAAAAGAATGGAAAAGAGAGAGAGAGAGACGGAAAAAATAGAAATTTAGTACTTTCGTGTACTCTTTTTTTTCTCTTTTTTTCTTTCTTTCCATATAAGGGAAAAAAAAATTACTCGTAAATTAAAAAAATGTATAAAAAAATGAGAATAATAATAATAAATAAATGTTTTTATTACGAAAACGTTACATAGTAGGGGTAGAGAGAGAGAGAGAGAGAGAGAGAGAGAGAGAGAGAGAGAGAGAGAGAGAGAGAGAGAGAGAGAGAGAGATGATGAAGGAAAAAATGGTGAGGTGCAAACATTTAAAATATTTCCAACGCCGGAATCTCGGTTTATTTAAAGTTGAACTTAAAAATAATGTCATACCCGAATCATTATTATTTTCACCGCGTCGGATTAAAAGGAAAAAAAAAGGAAAAAGGAAAAAAGGAAAGAAGAAAAGTTATAAAAATTGTTTTTTTTTTAACGAGTGACTTTTTTAGTGGTTTAATAATAATAATAATAATTTCTTCGCGGCATTATTAATAATCACATGTCGAATAGATTAATTAAATATCTTATGGGTAAATGTCGTCATCGATATCGATGAGGTAGTAGATGATGATGATAATGATGATGATGATGATGATGATGATGATGATGATGATGATTTCGCATTTGGTTTTATGTGTCAGGAGGAAATAATTATTATTTACGTGAATAATATTGATTGAACGGCGTGAATATTTTAAAGAGTTTGAAAGTGGGAAAACGAAGACAAAAACAATACGATGTGACCTATTTGTTTATATATATATATATTTATAAAAGCATGCGAGCGAGCACATGAATTTATTTATTTATTTTCTTTTTGTTAAAAGAAGCAGAAGATGGAAACCAAAAAACAATTCAGGTATAATAATGTTTAGAAAAAAAAAAAAAAAAAAAAAACAACTCCTATTACCAACAAATCATCCTCTTAATCATTACTATCTGGCCAAAGGCAAGTTCATAGTTCATTTAAAAATTTTTAATGTCTACTGCTTTCTTTGTTATCGCACGGCCTCCTCCACGTGATTTGTCTTTGGTTTCATTTTTGGGGAGGGGGGAGGGGGGAAACAAAAAAAAAAAAGAAAAGTAAAAATTTTTTTTATTATATAAATGATTCATTTTTCCTTAACTTATCCCCCTATACAGATATGTAATAACAGAACTTCTTCAAAGCGATCTCCATAAGATAATTGTTTCACCGCAACACTTATTTACGGACCACATAAAAGTTTTCCTTTATCAAATATTAAGAGGTTGGTAATAATAATAATCATAATAATAATAATAATAATAATCGTTTTTCATCTATTATAAATTTTTATATAACAAAAAAAAAAAAAAAGAAAAAAACAATTTTCATTCATAAATACGTTGTTGTGTGGTGGCTTGGTTCGCTGGATGTCAGTTTTTTTAAGTAATAATAATAATAATAATAATAATAATAATAATAATAATAATAATAATAATAATAATGACGTGTAAAAAAAAAAACATTGTCGAGTTTATAATTAACCCCGGAGAAGAAGAAGATGAAGTTAGGATTAGGAAGATGTTGTAGAATTGTAGTAAAAAAATTTAATATTATTAAGTTGATATTATATTATTAAAATAGGTTAATATTATTATTATTATTATTAAAAAAAAAAAAAAAGGAAGGGTATATCGAAATTCGTCGTCGTTTTCGTCTGAATAATTAATTTTTTTTTTTTTTTTTATTAATGTTTTGCGGTTAATTAAAAAACCATGTGACCTGTGACCCGTAAAAAAAAAAAAAAAAAAAAAAAAAATTGAAACGAATTTTAACGATGCTCTTCGTGAAAATCCCCCTCCCCCTCCCCCGCCGCTTTACTCTTTTTTTTTGTGCTTGGGTGGGTGTGAATTTATTTATTATTATTATTGTTGTTGTTGTTCTAACGGATGGAATGGTATTTTTTTTTTTGCAGGACTTAAATATCTTCATTCGGCTAGGATTTTGCATAGGGATATCAAACCTGGAAATCTGTTAGTTAACAGTAATTGTATATTAAAAGTGAGTTTTGATGCATTTAAAAAAAAAAGAAAGTCTTTTTATGTGCTCCGACTACTCCTTCTCCCTTCCCCTTTGTTTTTATTTTTTCATATTTACCCTTCTCTTCCTCTTCCTCTTCCTCTTTTCCCCCCCTCTCTCTCTCTCTTTTATATACCTTCGTTCCATCAAATTGTAGTATTTCACCGGGGAAAATGGTTTTATAATTTGTTTAGCATCGGTTTAAAAAAAAAAAAAAAAAAAAATTAAATTATGCACGTGTGCGTGTGCGTGTGCGTGCGTGCGTGTGATGAAAATGCATAAGATTAAACGAGGCCGAGGAAAAAAAAAAAAAAAAAAAAACTAATATACTATTATTGTTATTTTTTAATAAAGTTTTTTTTTTTTTTTAATGGAAATACTTTATTAAATTCACAGTCTAATTATCACGCTATCTTAAATGATTTTTTTTTTTTTTTGTTTCGAAAAAAAAAGAAAGTTAATGCAAGAGACTATAAGATTTATATATATATATAAAAAAAGAAAGAAAATTAAATTGAAAAGCGACACATTTAGTAGAACTATGTCGTCAATATATATATATTACTTATAAATAATATTTTATAAGAAATTTATTTTTTGCTATGATCATCATCATCATCATCGAGAGTTTAATTTAATTTTTTTTTTTTTATTAGTTTTTCGAAAAAGGAAAAAATGAAATTTTATATTGATGTCGTTTGGATATTAGGGTTTAAATGTTGTTGAATTTATTTATTTATTTTTTATTTATTTATTTATTTTGTTTTTTTTATTATTGTATTGGTTAATATTTTATTTTTTTCCCCCCTTTCTTTTGTTAGATATGCGATTTTGGACTGGCTAGAGTCGAAGAACCTGATCAATCTCGAAATATGACTCAAGAAGTTGTCACGCAATACTACAGAGCACCCGAAATATTAATGGGTGCGAGACACTATTCGGCGGCTGTTGACGTTTGGAGCGTCGGATGCATTTTCGGAGAATTGTTGGGAAGAAGAGTTTTATTTCAGGCTCAAAGTCCCGTGCAGCAGGTATTTAAACGAGATACCACCATACCTCGAATTTAATCATACGAATGTGTGTATACGAAAATAATTTTAAAAATTTCAGCTGGAATTAATTACCGAATTGCTCGGTACACCCTCTCTCGGAGATATGAAATATGCTTGCGAAGGTGCCAGAACTCACATGCTTAGAAGACCCGCAAAACTACCCTCTCTCTCCGTTTTGTACACACTTTCTCCACAAGCCACTCACACTGCGGTACACCTCCTGTGCCAAATGTTGGTCTTCGATCCCGATAAAAGAATAACCGTGGCCGATGCTTTGGCTCATCCTTACCTAGACGAGGGACGACTGAGATATCATTCGTGCATGTGTAAATGTTGCTATTCTTTGGCAAACGGAAATAGAAGATTCACGTTGCAATTCGAACCGACGGCATCTGACGTTTTCGATGACGAATGGGAGAGGCGGTTGACTTCCGTCATGCAAGTAAAAGGTTGGTTTTAAATAAAACGTTGACATTTTTTTTTTTTTTTTTGGACGTCGCCATTGTATTAAATTGTGTTTTCGTTTGATTAATTTTTTTCAGAGGAAATGCATACTTTTATTGCGGATCATTTAAACACATCGGGTCGCGTTCCTCTATGCATTAATCCTCAATCGGCTGCATTTAAAAGCTTTGCCAGGTAAGGCAAAGGTGGACGGACGGACGGACGGCGTCCGCGTCACACTTCAAGACGCATCGCATTACTGGTATGGGACTTATCCTTCTTTACATTCTGTTATTTTCTTTTTTTTTTTTTCTTATTATTATTATTATATTTATTTATTTATTTATTTTTAGTTGAATGGTACGCAGTATGGAATAGACATGTTTCCCCCGCCCCCACCACCCCTCCCCCCAGTAGTAGTGCACGTGTAGCTTAGATAATAACTGTGTCGTTGTTGATATAACTGTATTTCTTACTCCTCCTCCTACTCCTCTTATTTAAACTGTCATTTTATTCAGCGAAGTATACAAACATTTTAAAAAAAAAGAAAAAGATAGATAGATAGATTGAGACAAGGAAGAGAAAAAGAAAGATATATATATATATTTAAAAATAGATGTTTGTTTAAATAAAAATAAAAAAAAAAATAAAATAACGACGACAGTTTTTTTTTTTTTGACATTGCCAATATTATTTATTGGAAGTTTGCAACATTATTATTATTATTATTATTATTTTTTTATTTTTAATTTTATTATTTGGATTTATTATTATTTATCCATTAAGTGAAATCGTAAAAATAAATTAACCGTAACTGTAAAATTTAAAATAATACGATTTTAATTGTCCGAAAAAAAAAAAAACATTGTACGGTAGTAGTTTAAAATAAATGCATAAATTATTATTATTATTATTGGAAAAATAAGAGTTATTTATTTACTTAGCACGAGGAAAAACGCATGTAGATATAGATAGAAATACATATGCATATACATATACTAATTAATTTTAATAATAATTGGAATATTTAATAATGTGATTATAGTAGTTGATTTTACGTAAGAAAATAATAATAATAATTTTATTACGATTCCGTATTGTGTTGCCCGTTGAAAGTAGCCGCCATTTTGCGTATTCGCATTAGTTTTTGGTTTTATTAATTTTTTTTTTTTTTTTTTGTTTTTTTTTTTTTGTTTTTTCCAGTTCTAACGTTGCTCATCCGGCTGAATTGCCGCCATCTCCTCATCAATGGCACTGACGTGTTTCCCCGCACCTCTCCCATCATTTTCGGGGAGGTTTTTTATTCGGAGTCGATGTTGGCATTGTGAAAAATAATAATAATAATAATAATAATAATAATAATAATAATTAATTAATTCAAAAAAGTGGTGATTATGTTGCATTCGATGTCTCGTATAAATTTATAAATATATATATATATATATATATATAGGCTCAGTTTTAGTATAAACGGTACGCTTTTTAAATTTTTAAGGGGATTAATGAAAAAAAAAAAACATTGTAAACGTTATTATTATTATTATTATTATTATCATTATTTTTTAACTACTACTACTAGCACTAGTACTACTACTATTATTATTATTAGTAATAATATTGTCTTCGTCGTAATTATTTTTATTGTGTAAAATTATTATTAATTTTTTTTTTTTTTTTGTTAGCGCATAGTCAATTTTTTTTTTTTTTACTACTATTATCATTATCATTATTATTATTATTATTATTATTATTATTATTATTATTATTATTATTATTATTATTATTATTATGAATTTAAAAAAAAGGAGACAAAAAAAAGAAAAAAAAAGACAAATTTAGAAACCTTAAAGACTGAGATGGCGGGTGGCGTGTGTGTATGTATTAAAAATTATTTTTTGTGAATTGCCTCATATTTGATTATTTGTAATAATTTTAATTAATTATTAATTAATTTAATTAATTAAATTAATTAATTATTTAGAAAGCCAGCCGTGGAAAAAAAAATAAAATAAAATAAAATAAAATAATGTAAATATTTATATGTAGTCTGGCTGGGAAAATAATTTAGGGCTTTTAGCACTTGAATATTTTTTTTTTTAGGGAATATTATTATTATTATTATTATTATTACTATTATTACTACTATTAGATGATGATTGTCTTTGATTGTTGTTGTTGTTGTTGCTTTTTGATTGTTTGATGGAGAAAATTGATGAAAAAAAAATTAAAAAAAAAAAAAAAAAATAGTGCCAATATTTTGTAGCGTTTTATTAATGAGTAGTAGGAAAAAATTTCGTGATTACGTATTTTGATTTATGTTTAAAAATTACAAAAAAAGTGTTCATGATATCATCCACGTGTTTTTTCTTTCTCACTCTCTCACTCTCTCTCACACTCTTTCTCACTTTTTTTTTAAAAAGAAAATTTAATTAAATGTGTGTGGGGTAAACAAAAAAAAAAAAAAAAAATTATATTTTGAATTGTGTTTATTGAATTATTATTATTATTATTATTATTATGTGTGATGGTGGTGTCGTGGTATTTTTAAAAATTGTAACGGTTTTTTTTTTTTTTTTTTCCTCTTTGTCTAAGTTAAAAAAACAAAATGGTGAGCACGAGTAGAGAAGTACACGTTTGCTGGGAATTTAAAAAAAATTTAAAAAAATATCGAAAAGTTTTTAAAATAAATATTTGTAACTATTCAAGGTTGCGATTTCAATTTCTCTTGTAATTTTAATTTTTACCCCCTCCCCCTCCCCCCTTTTTGTGGGGAGTTACTTAAGTAATTTTTTTTAAACGAGTTTTTGTATTAAGTTAAAAAAACAAAGGGATAGGTTCGAACGAACCTGTGGAAATCCCTTGAATTATATTGTTTGCCGAATGTTATACCCCGCATAATGACTTTTCGATTATTATTATTATTATTATTATTATTATTATTAAAAAACGTAAACGTGTACGTACTCGATGCGTATATAAAACTTGTGTTTTTTTTTTTTTTTTCAAATGTGTGTGCGTGCGTGTGTAAAATTTGGTTTTTTTTTTTTTTTTTTTTGATTCAAGTGCTTATCGTTTATCTACTGGAAAACAAAAAAAATTTCATCATGCCTTTATATTTGTATATAGATATGTAAAAGAAACTAATAATAATAATAATAATAATAATAATGATAATGATAATAATAATATTGGAAAATTATAAGGAGAAAAAGAAAACAAGTCATCGACTTTTACATTTTATGTAATATTGTAGCAATAATTAGATTTGATTTATTACTATTTTAATATAAATAATAATAATAGTAATAATAATAATAATGGTAACAATTACAACAGCAACAGTAATGATAATAATAATAATGATGGTAATGTGAAAACTATCGAGAGATTGCTTATTTTGAAAAGTAAATAATAATAATAATAAAAATAAGTTTTTTTTTGTGTGTGTGTGTTTTGATTAAAGGAAAGCATTTAATTTGTCAAGTAAGGTCAATTTGTTATTATTATTATTATTATTATTATTATTATTATTATTATTTTATAATTGAAAATGTATGTAATTTAAACCCGAACACGAAAAAAAAATTTTTTTTTATTTTTTTCCGACGGGGGAGGGTCGAGTGGAGGGGGCGGTGTTTCTTTGTGGGGGGAGGGTGGGAGGGACTGTGTTTTTTGTGTGGGGGTGGGGCGAAGGAGGGAGATTTCATTCATCTTACAGAAATAATTCATTGCAGTTTTTTTTTGATTCAAGACTAAACGCATTTGCTTAAAGTTTAAGAAAAAAGTTTTTCACTCTTGTATAAATAATAATAATGATAGTAATAATAATAATAATAATGATAATAATAATGATGATGATGATAAAATATATATATATATACAAACGTGCATATATGAATGATGAATAATAGAAA